ATAATAAAAAATTCAGAGTTCCTGTCTGCAGAAAAAAATTATATTTTACTAGGACACATAGACAAGTTAAGAGACTGTTATAATTCAGAATATGCCATAACAAGATGCATGCTTAGGTTTTTTTCCCTGATTATTTTTTTTAATAAATCACTTTATTGGGGGCTCTTACAGCTCTTATCACAATCCATACATCAATTGTATCAAGCACATTTGTGCATATGTTGCCATCATCATTTTCAAAACCTTTTCTTTCTACTTGAGCCCTTGGCATCAACTCCTCTTTTTTTCCCTCCCTTCCTTTCCCACCCTCCAATCCTCATAAACCCTTGATAAATTATACATTATTTTAATTTTCATATCTCACACCATCCACTGTCTCCCTTCACCCACATTTCTGTTGTTCATCCCCCTGGGGGAGGGAGGGTTATATGTCCATCATTGTGATCGGCTCCCACTTTCTCCCCCTTCTCCCTCCATCTTCCCCCTTACCCTCATGGTATCAATACTCCCATTATTGTTCCTGAAGGCGTTATTTGTCCTGGATTCTGTGTGTCAAGAACTCTTATCTGTACCCATGTGCATGCTCCGGTCTAGCTGGATTTGTAAGGTAGACCTGGGATCATGATAGTTGGGGGAGGAAGCATTAAAGAACTAGAGGAATATTGTGTGTTTCGTCAGTGCTATTCTGCACCCTGACTGACTCGTCTCTTCCTTGTGACCCTTCTGTGAGGGGATGTCTAATTGTCTACAGATGGGCTTTGCATCTCCATTATGACCTCATCAAAATGGTTGCTTGTTTTGGATCTTTTGATACCTGATCCCATCAACACGTCATGATCACACAGGTTGATGTGCTTTTTCCATGTGAGCGCTGTTGTTTCCCTGCTAGATGGCTCCTTGTTTAACTTCAAACCTTTCAGACCCCAGATGCTATATCTTTTGATAATCAGGCACCATCAGCTTTCTTCACCACATTTGCTTATATACCCATTTTGTCTTCAGCGATCCTGTCAGGAAGGTGAGCATCACAAAACACCAGGTTATTAGAACAAAGTATTCTTGTGTTGAGGGAGACTTGAATAGAGGTCCAATGTCCATCTGCTATCTTAACACTTAACGTATAAATATATGTACAGAGACCTATATACCCATCATTACACAGTAATATATTTACATATGTACATGTCTATGTTTGTACCTCTATAAAAGTCTTTTGCCTCCTAGTTCTTTCCTCTAGTTCCTGTTACTTTCCTCCTGTCCTGCTATCATCTTAGACCTTCATTCTGCTCTCCGTA